TCGGTTGGCTCAGTGACAGCCGGGAAACTCCCTCAATCCCGAGGTTATTCCTCGTCAATCTTGTTCTGCTGGCTCCCCCGGTGCCTCTGCATGTGGCCCTGACAGCACGAGGAGATTGGAGAACTGGATTCCCAATTTCCATGTCTTTGTTCTGCAAAGCAAGCCCATCGGAATAGATACTGGGTGAGATACCCAGACCTGCATGCCCGAGCCCTTATAAACAGGAGCAAACGAAAGGAAAAGAGGAATTAAGAGTATTTTTATTTGCATAATTTCCATTAATAAAACATTCTTTTATCCCAAGGAAAAAAAAAAAAAAAGGAGCCTCAGCTACAATTTGAACGGGAGATATTAAAAAAAAAACACCCACCCCTGTTTGTTTGTTGGTTTTTTTTTTCCCTCCCCCCCCTTGCAGTCTGACAGGAAGCAGCAAGTGAGTGCAGAGCAGCAAACTGGGCTCCAGCAAACACATTCCAGCCATTCCTTCCCCCACCACGCTCCTGCCCGGGAGCTGAGGGGAGGCACGGGAAGGGAAAGTGCCAGGGAATCTTCCACCAGGGGATCTTCCATCACTCCAGGGCAGAAAATGAGCAAAGGCACCCGGAGCACTGTCAGTTGTGAGCGCTGTGAGGGTCTGCAAAGCTGGGGATGTTTATCCTCAGCTCCCAGGGGGTCACAGAGCCAGGGAAGAGGGGAAGGTGATCCCCCCAAGCCGTGGGGTTTCACTCCATGGCTACCAGAAGATGGATTGGAATCCGTGGCTGTGCTTCCCACCACACAGAACTCCTGTTCTCATGGATGGGGCCTTGGATTGTCACTTTTTTTTTTTTTTTTTCCTGGGAGTCTGCAAAGACTCAGGTTTGGATAAGTAGCTTTCTCCTGCAGCAGCGTTCTGAGACACCTTCTGGGAGTGTTCCCTGGTTCTGTTCCTGGTGCACACTCCGAGCACAAGGAGGGATGTGCAGATCGGGAATTCCAAACTGTGGCTCCCTCCCTTTCTGTCCCTGATCTGATGAAAAACACAGTTCCCTGATATGGAGAGGAGGAATCCAAGGGCTGCCACAAGGCACCCACTTTCACATCATCTTAAGCAAATCAGTGAAAAGATTATCATGGAATCATGGAATGGTTTGTGTTGGAAGGGACTTTAAAGCCCATCCAGTTCCACCCCCTGCCGTGGGCAGGGACATCTTCCACTAGCCCAGGTTGCTCCAAACCCCATCCAACCTGGCCTGGAACGCTTCCAGGGCTGGGTCACCACCAGCTCCAACAATTACATATCCTTTATGCTAATTGATATTTTTTTTAGTTCCACTGGCCATGGCTCAGTGTAGATATTTGCCTTTTATCGGGGTGGGGGCAGGAGACGTCTGAGACATTTTATTTATAAATAAAACACATTTATTTACCTACTCCTGCTTTCCTCCATCCCACTTTGAAGCTTTCCCTTTTTCTCTGGCAAGAGGGATCCAAGGGATTGACGAGCAATTTCATAATTTCTGCCTTTTAACCCATTTTTAAAGAGTTTAGGCTTCTCCTCAGGAACTCCTTCAGGCTCTGTTTCCCTTCCCAAGCCTCAGGCTCCCCGAGGTGTTGCTCCCTGTCTCAGCTGTCCTGTACCTGAGCACAGGATGCTCTGCTGGGTCACTCCTCCTGTTGGCATCAACGTTTTAATCCATGGCACCATTCCCACAGCTGTCAGTGCTGTCTGCGAGTTTATTCTCAGCGCAGTGTGAAGTTTGAGCCCTGCACAAGGGCAACACTTTTCCCTGAAATTGCTAAGGCATGAGTTTTGTACTCAGTTTTCTTCCTGAGCGTAATAGAACTTGTTAGCAGGTCCTCTTCCACTCCCCACCCCCCTCAAAATCGAGATTGGTGTTCACTGTTCAGTGAATTTGGGGCTGATTTTCTCATGAACTTGCTTTGTTGCAACTCTGCAGAGTTTTTCTGCTCAGACAGTGGCTGCAAAGCATCTCTGAAGGCCAATCATCTAAAACAGAGAGAAATGATTTTTCTTACCACAGAAAGCCTGTGTTGCCCCACAGGCTGATCTAGTTCTGAGGGGCAAAGAGGAATCCTTCTTTATCCCTGAGAAACAAAGCACTTCCTTATGGATCCCTGTGTTCCAACCACAATCTGGTTGCTCTTTCCTCCTGTAAATAGGACGTGGCTCCAGTGATTTATCCAGGGGCGGATGTGCACGTGCACCCCTGTGGGTATCAACACCACATCCAGGAGAATTATCCCCCACACTCACACTGGGGCACCCAGAATGCTTTTGGGAATGGAACCCCGTGTGGGGAATGCTGCTGGAAACTGGGAATTATCTGAAGGGATCATCGGGGATATCAAGGCCTTGTGGCTCCACAGAGACATCAAAAAAGTCTGGTGGAGAAGTTAACCCACTTGAGGAAAATATGGAAATAACTGGCAGCAGAACAAACAGCAAAGCACTGAATAAAGAAGAGGGGAGAGGAAGTGACTGGCAGGGAAGAGCAGATGGGAGCGTTTGTAGGGAAAGTTGGTGGCATCCTGTGAGTTCCCGGGTTTCGAGGCTGTGGTGCAGCAGCAGTTCTGGGCTCCCCTTCCTGTTCTGGTTTCCAGCTCTGTGAATCAGGGCTCAAGTCTTTCTCTCTCTCTCTCTCTCTCTCTCCATCCTTGGAATTTTACTGCACAGGGAGACATTTTTTAGGGAGAAATCCTTCCCTGGGAGGGTGGTTACCCATGGAAGCTGTGGCTGCTCCTGGATCCCTGGAAGTGTCCAAGGCCAGGTTGGATGGGGCTTGGAGCAACCTGGGCTGGTGGAAGGTGTCCCTGCCCGTGGCAGGGGGTGGGATGAGATGATCTGTAAGGTCCCTTCCAACCCAAATCATCCTGGGATTCTGGGATTCTCTGATTCCCTTAAGCTCATTCCCTCCAAACCTCCTGGGATGGTTCCTTGGGCCAGCCATGGACTTGTGCTTGTGGTCTCCAAAATGCCAGATTTTTCTCTTTTTCACTGCAGGGAAGGGAGAAATATTTCACAAACACCTGCATGTTTGAAGCAAAAAAAAAAAAAAAAAAAGGGATTTCTGGTTGTTGATGCAGGAAATTCCAGGAAAAAAAAAACAACGACTGAGGCAGCAGTGAAATTGTTGCACGGGAGAGACACAGGACATTTTCTTTGTCTGAAGGAAGCTGGAGCTGTGCTTTTATGAACTGTGCATCAACCATTACCTGCTCCCAGAAGGGCTCTCCAGCCTGGCTCTCACATGGGCATAAAACATTCCAGGAGCAGAAGGTGGAATCAGTGGGTGTATAAAACCGGTTCTCCCAGGCTGGGATTGACGTGGTGGGGGGGGAAGGATCAGACCGTGGCAGGTTCAGATCTGGGGCGATTGTTTTTTTTATTCCAAGGGACAGTAATTTCACCGAAGTTGCTGTTTCCCCACCAGGCAGGAGTTCTCCGTGTTAAGACATTCCAGCCCCTCTGTAAGGGGATATTCCCAGTGTCCAGAGGGGATGCAGATCCAGGTGCCTGGTGGATACAAACGCTCCGGGCTGGGCAGAGCAGCCGGAGGAACGAGCAGGACAGAACCTGCTTTTCCGATCCCGTTCCTGCCGTGCCTCTCTCCAGAGCTCCCCTGCCCCGCTCCCAGTTGGTCTCCTTGCTAATTCCCAACTTAAATATTTGTTCCTGAGCGGCTGCAGGACTGACGAGTTTCCTGGATCCTTTCCATGCCGTGTTTGGGGCTGACATCACCCTCTCCCTCAGAGCATTCCTGCTCCTCGGGGGCTGACCTCGGACACCACACGGGGTGCTGCCTTCCAGGATTCCAGGAGTCACTGGCTCCTGTTCCTGTTCCTGGAAGGAGCCACACAGGCACAAGACTGCTCTGATTTCAGGGATTCCTGAAATCCTACTCCCAAATCCTACTAAAACCAAACCAACACTTTCTTTTCATTGCTTGCAACTGCACAATTTACATTTATGGCTCACTTCCTTGGGGGGAATAAGTAACCAGTCCTTAAAAGCACAGAAAGGATTGATGCTTTTGCAGGAATAACTTTAAAGCATAAATAGTTGTTGTTGTTGTTGTTTTTTTTTTTTAATTGCTAAATCCTACTCTCCTAGTTCAGGGATAGTAAGGTCAGACAGCAGACACAGATTCCATGGAGAAGTTTGTCAGGTGTTTATTGTGGAACCTGTGATTTCCTCTTGGCCTTTGTGGAGCACAGACCTGTAGAGACTGATGATCAGTAATAGTGAGAGAATCCTCCTCGAGAAGCAGTTGGAGGACAGGGCATTGCACTGGTCGGAATCTGGGCTGGGAATGTTGCTTGCTGAATTTATCTTCAACTTTTCAGTGACTCAGCTTCCCTGTTTTTGAAGCAGAGCTACCAGTAAGGCATTAAAACTGGATGTTATTAATGAGAAATCAAGGAAATCAAGGGAATGAGGTGTTCTCTTGCAGCATTTTCATCTCATGGGCAGAAGCACCAGTTGGAGTTGGAAAGTCGTAAGTTAATTTTGAAGGGAAGGAACTCCTTGATAACTTAAATAAATCAATGTTGCTTCCACTGGCAGAGCCACCTGACAATAGAAGGGTTTAGTCCTGAGGTTCAGAACTGGTTCTGAGGTGTTCCAAACACCCAAATAACTCCTGGTTTACAGCACCAGGACTCTGTTCTTCGGGCTTTAAATTCTTTAGAAATACAGAAGCAGGCAGTAACCCAGCTCACCACTGTTGAAAAGTCACCATGGGCGTGTTTTATGTAAACATGAGGATGTACATGGGCATTTACACACGTGGGAAAACAAGTCCCTGTGGTGAAAGATACTGGGAGGTTTGTGGGAACCCCGAGTTTTGAATTCCAGACTGGGTTTTTGGGGGCTCTCCCTGCTGCAGTAACCGAGCTCCCTCAGCCTTGTACAAACTTCATAATTGCTTCGAGTGATTTACCACCACACACCCATTGTCTGCACCAACTGAGCCCTCCCCCGTGTTTCTGTTTAGCAGGGTGGAGGGATCTGCCCAGGGCTGCGTTTCTGCCTGCCAGACTAAAGACCTGACAGCATTTGTGGTGAAATAATCTGCTCTGTTTGCAGACTGGAGGAGAAATCCTTTCTGTACAGCTGGTGGGTTTTTGTTTTTACAGTCAAAACAGATGCAGTGGGGAGGGAAGCCACTGGGGATGGTTTGCTTTAACCCTGCTGGAGTCATTAGCTGTTGGGTTCTAAACTGTTTGCTGTTTAAACACCCTGATTCCAGGCCAGCTTTCCAAGGAAAAACTCCCATGCTGTTAGAGCTCTGATTAAGTGAAAGCTCACCCAAAACAGCAACAAAAAAACCCCCCACAAAATCCCAACACCCCTCCCCTCCCTCTTCTGCTCCGCGGCCCTCAAAACCTGGAGAAAATTTACCAAGAGCACGTGCACGTTTCTCTGCTAAGCCCTGAATTTGTGGCAGTTAAATGTGCAGAGAATGTGGGGCTTTGTGGCTCTCAGGCACACTCATTCTCGGGGAGGCACTGGCTGTAAATCCAATTTTATAGATTAAAGACTTGCAGCACAATGTAGGCACCTGTCGGTTTATGGGAGCCTAAAAATACCTCCCTGGCTATAATATTTTGGTGTTTTTTTTTCACAAATTGGAGCATGTGTATGTTTTCTGATACCTTTTAGCTATTTTTTTTTTTCTCTCAGTCCTTGTCTGGCACCTCAGCCTGTTGTGCCAGCTCTAATAGGGAATAATGAAGGACATGCTGTCCGCTGGCTGGTTGAGATGCAGAGAGGGTTTGCCATTAGCAGTTCAAAAGAGAATAAATACAATAATAGAATATAATCTAATTAATATAATATCATATCATATCTCCCCATGGTGCAGAAAGAAGCCAAAAGGCAGCCCTGAGGAGGTGACAAGGTGGGCTCTGTCACCTGTGGAGAGCTGGGTGTGATCACAGGGAAAGGACAGATTGTCCTGAGTGGGAAAGATTCGAAGGCTCTGTTTTGTCAGGGACTAAATGAGGAGGAGCCTTCGTGGTGTCAGGGTCACAGGAGCTCTCCCAGGCTGAGGATTTGCTTGTGCCAGTGTGGAAGGATGAACCCTCTGGAATGTGGAACTCAAACTGGCCAAGAACCTCGGTGTGGGGCAGTCCTGGCTTCAGGACGTGTCTGTGGGAGATATCAGGGCCACTCTTGACTCTCTGCTTGAGGATTTGTGTCTTAGAAGTGGTAAATGTTCTGGGATAAGATACTGTGGGGCTCAAGGTGAGCCACTCATCCAATCCCAGAATCACAGGCTCATGGAGTGGTTTGGGTTGGAAGGGACCTTAAAGCCCATCCCATTCCACACCTTCCACCAGCCCAGGGTGCTCCAAATCCAACCTGGCCTTGGACACTTCCAGGGATCCAGGGGCAGCCACAGCTCCTCTGCCCAACCTGTGCCAGGGCCTGCCCACCCTCCCAGCCAAGATTTTCTCCACTCTCTTTCAGAGAAAAACCAAACAAGGACCTTTTGGATCCTTTTGGTCCTTTTCAGGACCAGGTCAAACTTGTGACTGAAACAAATGGAGAAAGAGCTAATTGGAGGTGAGATTCAGGAATCCCAGCACCTCACACCTGAGTCTGATGCCCACAGCAGGATCCCAGCTTTGGGAATCTCTGTTTTCCCTCCCACCTTCCCTTAATGGCACCGAGATTTCCATCCTTTCATTAAATACGGTTGAAACCGGCCCATGGTTCAAAAAAAAAATAAAAATAAAAAAAATATCCCCAATTCTGAACAGGGGCAGAGGCAGATTGGGAGCTGCTGTGTTTACATAAACCTTGTTTTCTTAGGAAAGCAGGCTAAAAAGCCATGGCTGTGTTGATATAACCTCTGCTGGTGCTGGGATGGGGTTGGCTCGTGCTGAAGTGCTGATTCATCTGACAGTGTGTTTAGCTGTGGTGAAGAGAACTGGAGCAGGGTTTGCAGATAACACACAGCTATTAGACAGGGAGATGGGAGGCAAGAAACAGGAAGGAAATCTGAGCTCTTGTAGGTCAATCTTTTGGTTACACTGGCATTAAATCAAGAGCAGGAGGAGAAGAATTGTGCAACAAGAATCTGAGTACTTTTTTTTTTTTAATTTTCTTTTTTTTTTTTCTTTTTCCTGGCTCGCCACTTTCTATTTATGGGAACCCAAAATGACCTGGCTTCCTGAGCTGGAAACAGCACTGCCATGTCCTTGATGACAGTCTGAGTTTTACATTTCAAGCCAGTCTTTGCGACATGTTTAGGAGGACATTTTTTTAGCTGATGCCACAGTTTGAAAGGTGGTGGGACCTGGGACTGCATCCTGGGACACAGGAAACACCAGGAGATGGTAATAAAGTCAGAGAATCCCAGAGTGGTTTGGGTTGGAAAGGGCATTGAATATTATCCTGTTCCACCCCCTGCCACGGGCAGGGACACCTCCCACCAGCCCAGGCTGCTCCAACCTGGCCTTGGACACTTCCAGGGATCCAG